CATCCTTATTCTTCTCGATCTGACTGCAGTTAGTGTAGTCTAGTGTTTTGTTCGTTTGCCTACCAGTTCAATGTACTCCTGTTTCCATGTCTAGTAATATTACCTGCCAGCCTTTCTTGTCAGATTGCCAGGCCTGTTGGTCTCATCCCCTGGATTCCCTCTGCCAAGCCTCCCCTGGATAACTAACCTTCACCTCAGCCTCAACCTCCTGCCAGCCATCCACCATTTCACCAGTCATTCCAGTATTTTTAAATAAAACTTGTGTTGTGACATGTGTTTTCAACTTATCTCATTGTCTGTGTCTGCACTTGCGTTCAACATTAAAATTGTGACAGTTATTACTTTTAAGGTCACCAATGGGTTGACCCTACTTATCTTTTATCCCCCAACGAGCCAGGACGCAGACTGGGATCCCTTTGTAGGGCGTTGCAAGGCCTTCCAAGGCTGAAAACCAAAGCAAGTAGGGCCTTTGCTGTCAGGGCCCCTACACTTTGGAACAAACTGCCAAAGTAGAACAGGCTCAGTTCTCTGTTTCATCATCATCTCACTTGTCAAGAAACATTTGAGCTTTTATTGTATTTTTTACTTTTATCTTATTTGTTGTTTGCATGTATATTGATTGTTGTACAGCATTTAACCTGTATGTAAAAGTGCTATACAAATAAAGCTATTATTATTAGCATCATAGCCCAACACCCTGTGAACAACACAATGAAAAAATGCATCCCTTCCTCTTCAAATATCGCTTGAAGGGCCATTGTGAAGCTCAGTGTGGTCGGTTCTGGCAGGGACGCTGGAAGTCAGTTGTTTTGGGGGTGCTGAGAGGAAGTCAGTCTATATAATGATCATGCTAAATGCATAACATTGATTGTTTTTGCATACATTAGAATGGCTAGGATAATTTATAGCATATTTAATAGTTATGATAGTTAGTTAGTTAATTAGCGTTAATTAGTTATGAACGCTTAAAAAATCTAAATCAAATTCTTGCTACGCTTTAAACCAGGAAATTTCTGTTCTAAAGTTGGCCATTTTGATATGGGGCCTTATTCTATGTAAAAAAACCAACAACAAATCAGCTCATTAGCAGTGCATTGTAAGCAGTTTATGTAACCAGATGTGTCCAACTAATGTGACATTGTGCGCCCAAAGATGGAGGTTGTAACAACTGATGGTAAAAGTAGACTCATGCCTAAACTATGCCATATTGATTGTACTCATATGTCAGATGTTGCATGGTGCTACCAGTTCACTGACAATGATAAAGAAGGTTGTGTAGAGTTTCCAGTGGAAAAGTCCTCTGCACTGTGTTCTGGCACCTGGCCTATGGCTACATGACATTCAGGGAGAATGCAGGGCAAGTCTTAACATCAGCCTGTTTCTGAGGGCATGTTCAGTGTGGATGCAGCGTCAGCATGTATTAGAACTGGTATCATGTCAAATGTAATCAGGTTCAGCTTTATAATATCAGCCTTCAGAGGAAACGGCACTGTTTTACGCCTCTCTGTTACAATACTTTATATCACTGGTCCCCAGCTGTAGTTTAATGAATATGCCAACTATTACATTTATTAATAATAACTGTACCTCTGTAAGAAAAGAAAACAAGTCCATATTTAACCTGTGTTGTGCACGTCTCTCTACATGCTTCAATGAAATTGAGGCCCTGCGTCCACACAGGGTTGCTGCCAGTATACTTTATCAGAAGTGCTTGTCGGATCGGTCATACAACTTTTGAATGTCCATTTTTTTTCTTAAACTGACCATCCATTATTGATAACTGATCCTGCAGGTCCTCTAAAAAAATCTAAATACAGGTTCCTAGGATTTAGCTAGCACCAACCAGAAGGATGGAGACAAATGACGTTGAAGCTAACTGTAGCAAAGCTACGCTGGCTGTGTCTTGGCTGTAAATAGTAAATAGTAAATGGACCTGTACTTGTATAGCGCCTTTCTAGTCTTCCGACCACTCAAATCGATTTACACTACATGCCACATTCACCCTTTCACACACATTCACTCAGTGATGGCAAAATCCATCAAACAGAAACTAACTCATTCATACACATTACCGGGGGAGCAATTCGGAGTTCAGTATCTTGCAGTATACTTCGACATGTGGCAGGAGGAGCCGGGGATCGAACCAACAACAATTACTGGACGACCCGCTCTGCCTCTGAGCCACAGTCGCCCACTGTGTGGTGTGGGCTGGCGTTGCTTGTTTATGGTGTTGCCCATTTGTAAACGTTGAGCTAGTTAGTAGCATGTAGTCAATGGTCCAAATAAAATATAGGGACATTGCAGACTGTACAATATAATTGTAATTTATCTTCCGGTATTCAGTCTAGTGTATGTCACTTTTGACTGATGCCCAGGATAATGCAACAGCAGTTCACTTAACAGCCACCGGTGGCAGTATTAACAGTTTTCAAAAAGTCACATATACAACCTTTAACATAAATAAATACGATTTTGTTGCTTTAGATGTCTGAAAATGATTTTCTTCCAAAGGCACACAACCATGCTTTAACTTTAATACAATCTGGAAACTGTTTGTGTCGTCAGGTTCCCAGAGGTGAACACATTCCTGCCACTGTCTGCCTGGAAGCTGTGTGGTATTCTCTGTGTCTCTGCACGTTCTTCACCTGGAGGACATGTGCTGCACACAGCTGTCTCTGCACTGGGAGAAATATGGGCTTGATTTTGTGCCAGCATCAGTTCATCCACAGCGATCTGACACCCAGGGACCATTTCAGCACACACCACAGACCGAGCTAATTTCTTACCACGAGGTGTATGCGCATGTGACAGCAAAGCGTCAATGTGTGCCAAAGCTTTTATTTTAACATGCTCAACGGCAGCAGGAAAAAAAGAGAGGGCAGAGTCCTGGGTTGAACCTTTAACCTTCAAGACCTCTGACACACACACACAGAAACACACTAAAAACAATAGAAGTCTTAAAGAATCTTTTGTGAGGATTCAAGTGGTCTGATAAATCATGCTGACAGTGTTTGAGCATTCTTTTAGATATGCTGATTCCTTTCCTGTTAACCCCCAGCTGAAAAATGCACAGCCACCTTTTACACATTACAGCACTGAAAATTCTACTAGTTTTAACATGTCCAAAAGAAAAATCGATTTTCAAAAGAAAAGAACAATATCTGACCTTTCCAAAAAGCATTAGATAAAAGTTTATAATTCTACAGTTATGAGCTACAAAACTAGTCACTGATGAATCAGGTTCCAACACATTCAAGATACTGTATGTCTATATAATTATGACATAGTTTTGATAATCTTCGTGTAAACAGGGAAAATGAGTGTCCCTGCCAACGTGTCTGCCAGAATTATTCTTCTTCTAACCGCAGAGCACAAAATACAGGCAGACTGACACACAACTCAGAGCTTGTTGTGGGTTATCAACAGTTGGGCATAGTAAATCATTTCTGTAATTTCTTTGTAACAGAAAGGCATGCTGGTTGACTGGAGACTGGTAAGTAAAAATGGATAGTGAGAAAGATGTGAGTGAGGAGAGTCATTGTTTTCATTAGCACATTAGCAGTTAAGCTAATAAGAGTTGCATATACATACAAAAATACAGTGCTCAAATTCAGACACTTTCCTTACTAAGTAAAAGTAGCACTAACAATATGTAAACAGGACCAGTGTGTAGGAGTGGCAGTGTGTGTTAGTCGCATCTGGTGGTCACATACACAAGACTGAACGCTGGAAAATAAATTAGAATCACATTTATTGAGCTTTTATTTGCAATGTTCCAACGGGGCGCTGACTATAGTTCAGTTAATGGCCACTGGTGTTGCCATTACCAACAGTTTTCTTAAAGTGACATATAGAACCTTTAAATTTTGATTTTAAAATTTTTTTACCACAGGCTCAGCCAACCACAACAAACAATGTCACACATGACAACAGTTACATTGAAAAAAGATCTAATTATGAAGAAAGGCTCCTCTGAGATTGTTGAATTATTGATGCATTAAGTCTAACTTGCTCGTATTCTTTAAGAGAGATGAAAGTTATACTATCCCCAACTGTTTTTCCTGCTCCTCTGGATCAGGGTCTGATTGGTGACTGAGCTGGGAGATTGAGGAATGCCTTTCAGCATCTCAGCTGTGCCTTGTTTGTGTCTCCGCTTCTACAGCTGTAGCATGAACTTTGACCCCATCTGTCTTGTTTGCCTTCAGTGCTGCAGAGTCTGATTCCAGGTCTGAAAGCCTTCTGCAGATCTGCATATTTACCAGTGCACTCTGTGGGAGGCCAGGCTGGGTCACTGCTGCTTTGTTAGCTCTGACTTCTCCTGTAGAGACCAGACAAGCCTCAGCTGCTGCAGACCAATATCTCAGAGAATATCTGTTTGCCCCCACCCCAACTACAAACAAAAAGCAACTGTTATTATTCGAATCCTTATTTTTTTGGACAGTTACATCCCTTTCTCTCTGCAGAGAGAGTGTGACCATTTTTACAGCTTCTGCTTTTTGTTTCCAACAGTCTACGCCAACAATGGGGACGAGTTCCTGTAGTCTAGGCGCTGCTCAAGAGGGGATACTAAATCCAAGCTCCAGGTAGGCTTTCATGGATAGCCAGCAGTTCTGTTATCGTTATTGGTTAAGCAGATGCCGTCAGAAAAAGTAAGACTACATCAAACGGCAACAACAGTAATCACCATTTTAAAAGGAAAACCAATCCTTTAAAAAACGCCGAACCGATGACAAGATTTCTAGCCCCGTTGTCGGGTGTGGTGAGAGAGGAGATTGAGCAGTTTCTGCAGTGTTTGGCTAGCGCGGGGCGGGGCGTGCTTGCGTAGGACAGTGGAAAGCACAAGAGCACAAGCAAAACAGTCGCAGCAAAAAAGAAGAAAGTAGCTAAACCCCTATGATAATATAATGCCTTGCAGATGAGCCATAATCAATAAATACAAAAGTTCCAGTCAATCTAAAGCAGAATCACATAGACTGTGAGAGTGTCCAAGTGTACCCGCCTCTCGGCCCAATGTAGCTCGCGAAATGGCTCGAGAAAACCCCCTGCAACCCGCAAAGATAAGTGCCTTGTAAGATAAGACGGAACATTAATAAACATCTTTTCAAAAACATGTCAGTTTTGGTGAGTTAGCACTAGGTAGATAGATGCTAGAAAGCTAACTATGTTGACTAAACAACAGTTTATGAGATGGAATGTTGTTTTGACTGACAGGCAATTAGAAAGATGAGCATGGCATGGCATGGTTTTGATATGCCCTTTATCAATATAAATATTTTTTATAATAATACATATAATATCAGTAAATGCCCACCAGCCTTTCTAAAACTGCTCTACAGCACAAGTGTGGAAGGTCTTTAGGACTCAGACAAACACTGATTCTTTCTTTTCTTCTGGCCATGATGTTTAGGGGTCATGTCCGATTCACAGTGATGTGGACTCCCAGGTACCTAAAGGTGCTCACCCTAGGTATAGTTCCTCTGCTCCTTCCTCCCAAAGCGCAAAACCAGCCTCTTCATTTGCTGATGTTCAGTAAGATGTCTTTTCACCAGTTTCCACCTTTCAGTATAGTACCACTGAAATCCCTATCTACATGTATGAAGACCTTGGATCGGTTTTGCGTTTCTACAGCAGACAGAATTATTTCACTTTCCAGCAGTTGGGGAAAAAACTGTATTATAGTTATAGTATTGGCTCACTTTGCTTGGGACCTCGAGAGATGATCTATAGAGTGGTTCTATTGGTACCATCCACAACCTTTGCCAATGGAAAATATTGAAAATAACAAACTGAAGTGAACTGAAACGTGATGACAGGTTCCCCACCTCTTCCTTTCCTTTGACCCTGTCATCACTGTTGGTGACCCAAGGTTAGGTCAGCATCACTTTGAACCGGTTCTTGACCACACAGTCAGTGAGTGTGGACCAAATGTGAACCTATCGTGACGTCACCCATTGGTTTGTGGTGTACTGTTTTGAAGCTTCGAGTTTGAAATTATGGTCATCGCCATGATAATTTGTCAGAGCCAGTCGAGGTGATGTACTGTGAGATGAGCTGCTCTCATTGGCAACTCGTCCATAGCAGGAAACAATGGCAGCTTGAGCCGGACGGACTCACTGAGAATGACCTGTCAATTACAAGGTAGCCCCGCCCTAAAATACCCCACTTTATTGTCTGTTTTACTCTAAATGAGACCATCATTTACTAAATGAAC